GTACAAATGACAGATACTGTTGCAATTTATATCACTAGGGTTTGTATAAAAGACCCACCATCTATTTACAGCAACAGGAAATAGACGAACTATTTTACACGAGTAATTTTTTCGCTGGTGCTGTTTTGTGGTGTTAGTAAATTCACCACTTAATTTTGAGTTAAAATATGTTGTTGTAACTTGCGTTACTGAGATTGTAACGAGTAATAATATTACCCAAATTTGATTAGTAATGCGTTATATTACTGCGTTACAGCAAAAAGTAATATACTACTGTAATATTATTACTTTTGTAATGCGTTACTCCCAACACTGCCCAACTGTGATATATGTTAAGACATATCTGCTATATAATAGGATTAAATGTTCTGACTGAAGGTTAAACGTCTTATACCCCCCGGTTAAGGTTTGTTTATGTAGGCCTCGGCTACGGCCTTCCAGGAGCAAGAAATGTAAACGTCCCCACATAAACGCCACCCAGCAAGGCTTAATGACTCCTTACCCAGGCCTCCACAGTCTCCCACTGTGCTTTGTTCGTGTCCAAGACTGGAAATTTCTTCACGTTGCCCCTAAAGTTCACTTTGACAGTGACAGGGAGGTTCATGGCTGTTAGCCAGAGTCAAATAAGAATGCGTTTGATGCGGGGATGTGACGCTCTAAATGCCCGCGGTGGTGGCAACACTGTCAGATTTGTCTTTTGCGTTCTTGTTTACATCGCTAGATTCGTACACGCCCCCAACACACGTCAGAGGAAGTGTCTCAGATTTACTTACTAACTAAATATATATATTTTATTATTACAAAATATTAAAATTAAAAATACTTAAAGGCTCGTAAAAGTATTTAACTGGTCCTTATAGGTACTTATTTTGGGATTCCATCAAATCATATTTTACAGAGAAAAATATGACGCACGCATGCACGCTACGTCTTTCGAAGTCGTCCCGAACATAGATGTGTGAACATATAGATACCGTTTTAGCACGGTAGCTATGCTGATTACAGTGATACGTCGGTGTTTACACTATATTGTATTGATTTGGTTTTGCCATGAATATCAGGTGATTCTGCATATTCCAGATGACATCAAATTCAAAATGAACGAAGAGTAAATACTTCCACACGGCAGAACAGATGTGACAGCTATGTATTCCCATCTATGGTCTCGAAGCGTTTACGTCATCTAGAAGCGCGTAAGTGCCTTGTGGCTGACAGCAGTTAGTGAGCCACACGGTTAGTTAATGCTTTTAGGACAATCCCTTACTTTTGTCATTTATTGAATTAATACGATGTCTTCGCTTCTTAAGGTGGACAATGAAATCAAAACAAAGGTAAATGTCTCGCCGCTTCCTTTATTTAAATACAGAGCACTCAGATGAGTTGTTTGTAAACGTTAGCTTGCGGCTAGCCGGCTTGCGCGTGAGTAACCTCGTGAGCGTGTTAGCTAACTTTTACGCTCACATATGCTTGTGAAATCAGTTGTAAATTAAAACAAAGTACATATTGTAATAAAGCATGTGAGGATTATACATATAAAATCTTCAGAGTGAAGCCAGAGCTCTCACGTGCGCGTTAACCGCGTGTTTTTAGCACAGCAGAATGCCGCTACGGGAAAAGTACATAACTGTTAGTGGTTTTTAGCACGTTTTTGACAGCAGTAAGCTAAAATAATTTTTAAGTCGTTGATTATGTTGGCAAGGGATTACGGTGAAGATCGCAAGGCTAAAAAGTCAACAGAGAGCGGGAAACGGCTCTATTACATGGTACATGCTGTAAAGTGTAAACATTCAGCGTCTTAAAATAAAAGGGCCGCCGGTTGTATTTTTTTCTAAATTGACTTTCAAAGACACGACATTATAAATTGTGACGACAAAAATCAGTTTGTGGATTATATTTATATATGAATATTGCTTGTTTTGTCAGGTTGATGCTTTCAGAGAACGAATTACAGCTGAGGTGAACTACTGCACTTATCCAGATTTTATATATATATGAATGTTTCGTGACTATTGGACGGCTTATTGTTTAATTAATCAAATTTAGGCTGAAGACTTGGTTGCAAACTTTTTCCCGAAGAAACTGTTAGAGCTTGACCAGTTTTTGAAGGTAAGTTTAATAATGAAAAATTATGCATTCTTGACATTTACTTCTTGAGATGTGTAAAACACGTGCATTTGTGTGATAGCCTTTTGATCACATTTTGTTTTATTTGTTTGTTTGTTTTTTAAATAGGATCCCACAATTAATATCCGTGAGCTGAAAGAAATTCATTCAGAGATCAATCTGACTGTGCCAGACCCAATTCTTCTTACAGACATCCACGATGGGCTTGAGGTGGTAAGAAGCCATTTTTAAGTTTTCTTCTTCATTAATCAGTCAAAAGCAGCTCAGGTTGAAAGAGTGATATAAAGTCTCTGAATAGGATAGGTTTCTGTTGCTTTGTGCAAAAGATTGTCTGTTTGACATGAACCAAAAAAATCAGCAAGTAACCTTGAAATATTTTCTCAATAGCAAAATGCTAAAAAGAGGAAACTCGAAGATGGTGCAGGAGATGACAAAGGTGAGTTTTCCTGCCTAATAAAAAACAGCATCTTGATTTTGGCAAGTGACTAAAATAAATTTAAAACGCATTGGTACCAAAACACTTCCCTACATTATCCTGTAGCCCTGTTCACTTCTGGTATTAATATGCGTTTTGTGAATCCGATCTCAAGTTGACAACACTATATACAGGTGTAAACAGGGTTTAAAACATTTTGAGTTTGTCTACTCGACCACTTCCAGATGTAGTTGAAAACGCGTTAGATTAAATGGTAATGTCTCGCCTTTCTGTTTGTAGTTGGTGGGACCAAGGTCTTTGTCATGCCTGGTGGAATGATGAAAAGCAATGGCAAGCTGGTGGAGCTGATTGAAAAAGTCAAGCCTGAAATCAGAACACTCATAGAAAAATGCAACACGGTAAGGCCATGTAACCAAAATCTCAGACATGCTTTCACTCTTTAAAAGTGTTGTGGATAAATGTCATTTCCTTTGTTTTTTAGGTCAAGATGTGGGTTCAGTTGTTAATCCCAAGAATAGAAGATGGCAACAATTTTGGCGTCTCAATTCAGGTACGGTGTCACATTTTTCAGGTCTTCATTTGCTACACTGAAAGCCTTGTAACAACATGAGCTGCATTTGCTGTAGGCAGATATAAAAGAGCAAGCAGTGATTCCTCACAATTTGCTGTAATTGTTTTGTCATTTAAAAGAAATGATTCCTTATCTTTGGTCCTGTCGGGGAATGTCAAATGAAAAAGAAATTGTCAGCCATTTAGTTGGAGTTATGATTCTGTTTATCTTCATAACAGGAGGAGACGGTGGCTGAACTCAGAACAGTGGAAGGGGAAGCGGCTTCTTTCTTGGATCAGATATCCAGGTACGACACATCAATGTTTGTCAAATTAAGAATTAGACACTTTAGTTTTCCTTCATTTTTTGTTTTACAGGTACTACATCACAAGGGCAAAGCTGGTATCCAAAATAGCAAAATACCCTCATGTTGTAAGTCGTATCTAAAGTACACGCATACCATTTAGATCAGGAATTCAGTAGTTATTTTATATATGTATAATATATATTTTGATTTATAGGAGGATTATCGTCGCACGGTTTCAGAGATTGATGAGAAAGAATACATCAGCCTCAAGATCATAGTGTCAGAACTGAGAAACCAATATGTAAGTATTGCTATAACTGTAATAATGCAAATGATTTTGAAGATTCTTTATTTTGATGTACAGAAAGAAGTCAGTATGTATGTGCTGTCTGGGTGTTGTTGTGATAACTGATTTAATAAAATGCAATTGTCTTGCAGGTAACGTTACATGACATGATCCTGAAGAACATCGAGAAGATCAAGAGGCCGAGGAGCAGCAATTCGGATGCTCTGTACTAAGATTCCCCTTACCTTTCATTCTTGGCCCGTTGTTCCACCATTTGGAGCTAGCTTTAGCCTTCAGGTGGTTTTAGAGCAGTCCTGTCACCCATTATACCCAGGCCAAGAGAAGGACCGCTCAATCCGGCCTGATAGAACATGCCATTTAGGATAGAATTGTAAAATATTGTCACTATTTTAAACCCTTTAAAATGAGCCCGTTTTGATTTTTCTTTTTGTTTCTTAGCGGACAGTATAAATGTATAAAGGCAGAGCCTGAACATGCGTCCCGAGGAAACTGTCTCGGATTTGTTTTTCTTTATTTAATTAAAGAAACGTTTCAACAGTGGATTTCATTTATTTTTGTGCAAAGCCAAATTCCATGTAGTTCTCCATTTCAAGTGTTTCTGAGCCTAGTTAAGGCATTACGGATCTACCCAGGATGGTCGGTTTCTCCGGTCGAGAAGCAGAGAAGCTCTTATTGATGCTGTATTTCACTAAAGCAGGTTACGTTGTTCACCTGAAATGTACATGTAGGCTGAAGTGGAAGCGACGCAGTTATTGTATGAGATTTTATTTGGAATGTGTGCTGACAGTTATTACGTGATGGAATATTATATTTTCATCTGAAATAACTGCTTCATCAAATTCTGGAAGCTTTTTATGGTTTCTTTTTGTCCAGTTTTGAGAGCGATACATTTTGCTGAATAAACTATTGTTTTTACAATACATTTAAGGCACGTCATTAACTGCTGTTCTTGTTGTGCTTTTTTTCCTGAACTTTTTTTACTCGTCGTTATCCGCATTATAGAACTAATTTGATTTGCAGTCCCTGTATGAATACGAGTAGTTAAGTTTTACACAAAAAAGTACACTTAAGTCCAAAGTGGTAAGGCTTTTTATTTTACTTAAACTGGTATGACAGGTTATTTCCATGGAGTAATATCCACTGAAATGGCTAGTAGAACACTGAACTAAACAATCTCAAATACAAATGCAGTTAAGAAGACCTTTCAGCATACTAAATAATAACTTATAATGGTTATTTTGTAGTCAGCCTAAATTGTACATAAAAAAAAAAATGTATTCAATAATTTATGCTGGTGAAATACAACACAGACTTTGTGATAAGTGATAAGTTCTTGCACTACTAACATTTTTCTCATGTATACCATTTGCAGAAATGTGGCTTATGTTTGAACAAATCAGAAAACCGTGACCGATTTAGACAAGCCTCTTAGTGTACACTAATCATGCAGTATATAACAAGGCATATATACAAAAAAACTGATTTGGTCTCAGGGTTTAGGTTCTAGAAATGGACCAAAATGCAATTTTACTTGAATTTACATTCTAATCTAATTATTGCCAGTTTCCAAACCATGACAGGTGTTGAAGTGTTATAACACTGAACATTCTGTGATCTTCACAAAAAGCAAACCTAGAAGAGAAAACAAATGATTAACACCAGTTTGAAGAATATGCTCTAAATGTGTGAAGCTAAAATAATGCTGCCATTTCTTTGTAGTTGCAATAATTTCCAGCAGGTGTCAGCATGGAGGAATTGGATTTAATGCTGAAGCAATTTCGAAAACTTGTGAAACTTTAAAACAGTGGTAAAGTTCATTGATAGATACAATATGTCAATTAGACAATTTCTCACTCTCAGTTTAAGGTGAGTTTCTTTGTGTTTGTTTATGTCATAAGCTAAGTAATGGTGTAGAATGAGCCTGTGAATGTAAGTACCTCATAGAATATAAGCAGGATGTAAAAACTCCTTGGGGACTATGCCAATAGCACCATCCAGCTCTCCGATCCACCATCCATGGATGTTATATTCCTAGTTTAAACAGAAATACAGAGATTTGTGTGAGGATTTTGTCGATGATCAGAAGACACCGGCGTACAATTATTTTTCAACTGATTTAGTTCAAAGGTAATAATACATTGGATGAATTTCATTGTATTAGATACAAAATAAAATAAATAAACACATTATAATAGACTGACTCTTCTTAGCCATTTTTGCATATATATTGTGTCCAAATATGGTCACTCTATATTCATAATCAGTCTTCTGTCATAGGAACATTAAGCTTAGCCACTTAGGAACTGATGCAAGTGTGATGAGGATTTTTATCTCTGGAATCACAGAAAATGAAATGCTGTGGCGAGAGAAGGTACTTATGCTGTTCTTAAGGGTGTTTACTTAGTTGTATGGATCATCAGGGCTTTAAAACTGCACATAAAAACAAAGTATCAGGATGTTTACAATAGAACAAAATTTCATGCACCTGCATACACCCATTCGAATACAAATATAAACGTTAATTCAAATCTTATAACAGATTTAACAATTTCTATGGTAATTAAAGAAGTGTGTGGTGAATCTGTTGATAGAAGTTAGAGACAATGATTGCCGCTAGGGATATTGACATAAGTTTGGGGACTAGTTTAACAGTGTTTGGATAACATTGGTTCTTGGATGCCTTAAGCGAAGCAGAAGAAATCTCTATTCTTTTCTTGAAGCTCCATGTTTTTCCGCCGTAACATTCTCTTGATTCACTCCTCTCCAAATTCAAAAACCTTTAAGAGCTATTCCAGGCCAAAGCTCTTCAGAGTACGAGTGGAGAGAGCCCCAGATCTGGCCTTTAATGAATAAAGACCGATTCAGGTGGACAGGGGTTTATAAATGAAGAGATTAAAGAACACGAGCTACACTGATAGTGAAAGACTGAAGTGTTTTAAGAGCTTTGGTATTCTAGCAGCACACACTGTACATTTAGACATGATGAGCATGTCATCCATCCGCTGCCTGCTGAGGAGAGTAGGAACTAATTACCTTCCTCTCTTTAAGCACACCCACAGTGCTGAGAGCCTAATGTAGTCCTCAGCCCATGCAGATGAGCCGCTTTAATGATGCTATACGGAATAAAATCCATCTGGACGGTGAGCTCAATGCCGTTGCGGCATCAACGCCTCGGTATAGCAGTACATCCAAGAACTTGAGCTCTTTGTTTGAGACGCATGCAGCTATGCAGATGGGGATTGTTGGAGGTGTAGATTGATGTTCTCATATGACAGTTCAGTAAACAAGAAGTTAATATTGAATAGCTTACATTTTAGACCCAATATTGCCAGAAGGGACCATTCACACGGGGCGTTTTGCATTTTAGTGCACAGCTTTTCCATTGTTTTTCTATGCAATGATGTACTAGACAGACATGCTTGACTGTTGCGCTCACATCTTGCCTCTTTTCCAGCATCTTGTGCATGTCACGTTGTTTTAAAAATGAAGTTGAATAAATCATTGTTTTGAACAAATCGGTTGTGTAAATTATTCAATGGTTTGCTCATGAAGATGGGCTGTTTTCGAATTCACCCTCTATATCCTTATGCAACGCACTAATTGAAGGAACAGCCTTTTTGTAGTGGTGTCCACAAATAAAGTGGACATTATCACATGCACTCATTTATTCCCATAATGCACCTTATAAATCACATTTGTTGTGCACCAGTAATGAGTGCACAACAAATGTATTCTGAACAGTGTATTATATTAGTGGAGTAAAGTAAAGAATAGTTAATGAGGGTTTAAAGGGAGATTCACTTATTTTGTTCCTAAATGAATAAATGCTTTGAATGAATCAACTGAGGAAATTATTCACTGACTCAATCATAAAGAAAGTCAGAATCAGTCAGTGGCTGCGTTCGAAATCGCATACTTTCATGAGTAGGTACTTATTTTGAATGAGTAATTCCTCCATGACTGCTAAAAAAGTATGCTTTGCTTTTGTGTGTAGTATGCATGTAATCCGGATGTACTACATTCGCCATGTTGTCATTATCACTAGACCTACCAGTGTCAGTCGCGTCACTTCACTGCTGTTCACAACTCCTCTCCCATGGCCTCATGGGATAGTAAAGTGTCCATCGTATGCTTCTTTTGTCACCTACTATATAGTAAGGAAGTATGCTATTTCAGATGCAGCCCTTGTTTCAGAACAAACTGATTGAGTAAATGATTCAATGACATACAAATGTGTACCATTTATTGAATCGTGTCACTTGTTCGAGTGAGTCATTGAATCATTCAGTAAACCAATTTGTTCAAAAACACTGATATATTCAGGAACAGACAGTTGTGTGTCGCCACCTACTGGTGTAACGAAGTAACCTGCAGAAAGAGTCACTAAAAAATCCCCACCACTAATGCACAGATCGACAGTATTTCTGGCAAACACAAGCAGAATGTTAAAACAGTGAAAATTACCAGTTCGAATGAACTGACAAATCAGCAATCTCTAGAATGGTGAGGACTGGAACAAACTGCTGTATAATACTCCTCGTAATCACAGGTGCATCCATGGCTGATCAAACCATTTCGATCACGCCGCACCGCCTCCCTCACCCCGCCCTCCCCAACATGGTGTAACTGTGGGTTCAAACAGAGTACACACGCAGTACAAGAAAGAGAGTCAATACATTCCAGTGCAGTCCGTCCCATTTCGATGACTCGCGTCCTTTTCATTCCTGCCTCATTTTTCCTGCCTCCCAGTATTAGCAATCTGCTTTTCGGCAATGCATCTGTCAGCTAGAGGCATTTGGGAGACATCCAATCTGCGCCTGACCGTAGAAAGGCTTGTTATAGAGATTTACCCGAAAGAACTGCATGGGACAGGGATAATGGGTGGCTTTTCGGGAAGCTTCTCTGTAACAGGACAGGGTCAGGTGCGTTTCAGTTTGGTCTAGGTCTGGTGGGCAGCTGCTGTGAAAGTGACGTGCGGCGCAGCGATGGCGCTGACCTCCGCACGACCTTCTCCCGAGGAAGGCGGAGTTGGCACAGGGAGCTATCGAGAGTGTGCGTTGCCATGACAACACCTGCAGTGTGCCACTGATATCATTTATTTCACACTCAGGGGGGAGGGCTGGCAATGGTATTCAGATGGGCCCATTGCTCTCCAGCGACCAGGGGACAGATTGACAGCTAATGATGCCTTAAAAAAGGAGTGGCTTAACTTAAACACTATCATGACAGGCTCAAAAGTGACTCTTGTCTATAATAACGCCAGAATACCGATCACCCCTTTCTTCCTCTGTCCCCAATAAATTCCCACTAAGACGACACGCTTTGCATGCACGCCTCCTTCCTCGATCGCGTTTTAATCATTTCCCTTATTTGCAAACTCTCCCTCTGTGCCAGCGCGCATTCATTTTTTTCGGTTACGAGTAGAAACGCACACACACCGTGGAGGCAGTAGACATGGTAATAAGAATGAGACACGAGGCCTCTGCCCCTGGCCACCAGCTGACTGAGGTAGGCCTTGGGAGTGATGGAGCACAGGAAGTCTCTCATTGCTCCACCGCTGAACCCGGCACTCGGGTGCTACAACACCCTCCTCCGCTTTTCCTCTCCTGCTTCTCTTTCCTTAACTCGCATCGTAAAGCATCGGCTCCACACGCTCAGTGCTGCACAGGGACTCACTCATCCAGCCATCTTTAAAGACAAACACCAATATGTCACGTTGTTTGCTAGTCCGAAGCAGCAGACGCGGCAGGTGGCGAACAGGTATTGATCTGCTGCTCGAGCAAAGGCAGCCATCGTTCAATTTATCTCAATCAGTGCATTTCATTTGCATGTCATTTTCATCGTAACTAGCCATTAAGAACTCGTAATATTAATATTTGTTTGGCGTAGTAAAATAAACCGGAGCGGGAACACCGCAGGCTTTATTTAATCCCAAATCCGGGGCGTTCAAAGGTGCGACATGGAGTAAAAATGTGGATGACCAAATAATCTGCCATCGTAAAAGTACACTTGGGGATTACTGATGGCACTTAAACTTAATAGGCATTTAAAGTGGATTGTGTATGCTGCTGAGAGCCTGTAATGATGGCTGTTTATGTGGCCTCCCATTTATAATAATTATGCAGAGTGTGAGGGGGCGGCCGCCATGCAGTTCTGGACTATTGGCTTAGGCTGAATAATGACCTACTGTAGTTGACCGCGAGATGACCGTTGCCTTCTGCATGACCCCAGAACCCCAGACTCACCCCCTGATGCCTCTGCTGGTAAATAGAAAGCTCAATATGTCTATACAGTGCCACAAAGAAGGCAGCTCCTTAGATAAGTGTGTGAGAATGATTTCAAAAAGGAGTGTCTATTTCCACTGGATTTTCCTTTTCTTTTATGGCACCTTTTCCTTTTCTTTAGGCATTTTGTAGGAGACTGACCCCCTGGGCGGGAGGCCAACTGGAGCAGTCATCTGTCTGAAGTTTACGAGGATTTGTCCCACAAGGGAGGAGATAATAGTCACAATCACCCAGTTTTGTCTGTGAGAACTGCACATTCATATGCAAATTCACTTTATGTCTACCTGTAAAAACCTGCACAGTGGAGCATGAGAAAATTACACATAAACATACATGTTTATCAGATTAAATTGCAGCCTAAAAGCTGTTTGAACGGTTTAAAAGCAGAAAATCATAAAAAGCAAATATAAAATTTTTTTTTTTAAAAAGTTAATAAATATAAAATAATCAATAAATGTAAAATAAAAACAATATATATAATGTGAAATGAGCCTGTTTTAGGCACAAACTATATATGAACTATACATACATTTAAAAATATATTAATAAATTTAAATTTAAATTAAATTTAATTTAATTTAAAATCATTTAATTTGATATATAAAATATACATTTAACATAATGCAAAATTAGCCAGGTTTTCAAGTCAAACCATTAAGCATTTGTTTTAAAAACCACTAGATGTGCCACCCAGCTTAAAAGACCTTACAATCTTCAGCCAGAAGGTGGCAGTAGTGTCCACCGCCATACTGATGGAGCATCTGGATGTTAAAAGTAGATTGGACCTTGTCTAGACTGGCATCTAAGATTCCTGGTTTACAGCCCCTAATGGTGAGAGTGTAAAGCACATGCTGTAGAAAGGCCAAGACGGACTGAAAGAAAGGGATATTGGTGGGCTTGCATGTTAAAAGGGTCCTGGTGAAGTTTGCCTCCATCTTTAGTGCAATAAATCTCTTTGCTTCTCATTCCAGGATTTTAAGGGGATTCCCAGTGGGAATTCTGGCATGTGTTGGGTCTGACCTTTGGGAGTCATGTACTTTGAATCTAGGGGCATAAATTAAGAGTTTGGAATGCAAAAGGGTGGCATGGTTGAAGAAGAAAAAAAAATCTCCATGGGCCCCTTCAACTACACATGTAGGAAAAAACTGAACACAGCAAACAAACTATAATGCAAATAACAAGAGTTACAAAAATAAGACAGAACAAGTACATTTGTTAGGTAGCGTACATGCAATGTGATTAGAGCAGGAAGAAAAACATCCCCAAATGTCCTGCTGCCGTGATTCTTCAGCCCTGAGGATTGAGTAGGCTGTACAAAGCTGGCAGATGGATGTTAGCTTTAGCCACTATTTCATGTTCAAGTGTTCTGAACTAAGGAGCCATGTGGCATGAGCAGGGAAACAATGGCGGCAAGGGAGGCTGATCTGAGGGAAACAGCAAGCCGTAGTGCAACTATTATGGTTGCACACAAAATGAACTCTAAATGAATCACCAGTATAATTTAACTAAAAAAATTTGAGACTGTACTGAAACTCAGTGTTGGGTTTTGATGAATAACAAGGCAGTGCAGTCCAGAACATTTCATTGTATGGATAAAAAATTAATAAAAAATAAACATTTTAAAATAATTTGGTTTAAAATGAGGGGGAGAAAATCATGACAAATTTCTACCCCTTTAAATTTAATTTCCATGTTCCATCTGAGCATTACCAAAATACTCTAATAATAACCACTAATGAAGGAAATATTTTGTGCATGTGCTATCACACTCCCAAATGCTCCCACATATTATAGATACGTGTAGTGATTTGTGTAGATGAGCCGAATAACTGTTTATTCGCTGTAAGTAGTGGATCAATAAAGACTGATGAGAGAGCCTTTTTTAATCTGTACGCTCTGCTTACACCAGTGCTGTGACAGCGCTGTCGACCTCTTTGATTTGTGACTTCATAGCGGTCAATCATAGCGCTGCCTCAAAAACCTGTTGGTTAGCAGAATTGATTTAGCACTTTCCACGTCTTTATCACCTTGTAATTACGCTCGGTGTTGACACAAATATACTTGGCCTCCCCTCCACACCTCTGTGCAGCAGAATTTATGCACTCAGGTTTTATGACCACTGCTTTATGAGTGGGACCGCTAGAGTTGGGCTTGAGTTCTAGCCAATGGCCTATATTTCACTCAGTAAGGTCAACGTACCAAGGAAGCACCCGAAAAACAAGAGCAGCAGTCCCATATTGTCTAAGAATGCATCCGAAGAGGTCTACTAGATTTGAGCGATACAAGTGCAGCCACTTCGAAAATACTGCCATCAATAAAAGCTATTTCAATTACATGTCAGTCACAGAGGGATTAAAAGTAAGAGCTGATAAATCTACTTTAGTCTGAATATAATAACAGCATGATGACAAAATCAGAGAGAGACTCTAGCTATCTGAGATGGTTATAGACTCATTGTTTACACAAATTAGAAATACGGCATGAGATAAAAATAAATGACCCATGCACATCCTTACTGTGTTTTGATAACCAACCTCAGCGGATGTAACATACACTCACTGTTCTTTGAATAACCGAATCAAACCTGTTTTAGCTCTCCTGTTATTTAATTCTGACTTTAGGGTTCATTAGTTGTCATATCTATACATTTCATTAGTGATTACTGAATATCAAGAGTGCCAAAAACGATAGTAGAATTCTTTCTTAAAGGGATAGTTCACCCCAAAATTTTAATTCTGTCATAATTTACTCACCTTCAAGTTCCAAACCTGTATAAGTTTATTTCTAGATCATTTCTTCTGTTGAATACAAAAGAAGATATTTAAAAGAAAATATTGGCAACCAAACAGCTGCTGGTAGCCATTGACCTATATAGTTTGGAAAAAATACTATGAAAGTCACTACCAACATTCTTTAAAATATTTTTGTGTTCAACTTTTGTGTTTCTTTTGTGTGTGTGTGTGTTTTGTTTTGTTTTTGCAGAACACAAAATATTTTTAAAGAATATTTTAACTGTTTTTGTCCATGTTATGAAAAAACAACAGAACTGCACTAACTTTAATTGTATGGCCAAAAAACACAGATATTATTTAAAAATGTAAATATTTTTTTCCATGTGTGTTACAAAGAAGAAAGTAGATCATCCCGGCTTGCAACAACAATGATGACAGTTTTCATTTTGGATGAACTATCCCTTTAGGATAACAGCTCAGTTAAAGGCAAAATTAAAACACATTGATTCTTTCAGTGGTGTATCTTTAAGAAACAGCTACACTATGTGTTCCTGCTAACATCCCATTTGTAGGACACAAAAATATATAGATTAAAGCGAATGCACCAAATAAAGTGGTTTGCTTGGCTGATCACTCAATTTTCCAAGACACAGCTACAGCAATGAATCAACAGCCTATTATTGAAAATGTGCCTGTGTGAACACAGTATTGCAGTGGTCTACAGACCGCAGATGTACAAGGGGCTTTCTGTTATGTCAATATGACAAGCTGTAAAACGGGTTTAATTTGTAACCTGCAAATCTCTTGGATATCTGTAAGAATAGTCATTAGAAATGTAACTGCTTTGTTAGAAAGCTGAGTTGCTGATATGCTATCCATTTCTTAAATTGTGTGATTGATATAGAATAATCAACAGACAAAAAGCAGTAGAAATAGAAGCTACAAATCCTGATTCATTATATTTTGGCTGAGGCCTTCTTTGTAAAAAATGCTACAATGAGAATGTACTGACTGAGTGAAGGCCATCGCGGCTTTGTCATTTAGAATACAGTAAATGAATAGCTGCTAAGAGAAAGTCAGTGAGTATTGACCGATATGACTCATCTTATGGCCAGCTGCGTATTATTCATCATTAGTGAGGAGATGGATAGAGCAAAGGTAAGAGAAAAGAAAATCAAAATACATGCAGAGTGCTTCAACTAACAAATCAACCAAGGACAGAGCCAACAGCGCTGAACTAAAAGTCTGACCTTGTGTGTGTGTGTGTGTGTACCCACTTAACCACATTTTGGGGACAAATTTGTACCCAAAAGTGAGCTAAACCTGACAAAATCTCCAAAAACCTCCCTTTGGGGATGTCCTCGTTTGTAAAACTGGTATAAAAAATAATGTAAACAAAGTTTTTTTTTTAATTGTAAAAATGCAGAAAGTTTCCAGTAAGGGGTAGGTTTAGGATGGTGTAGGGCGATAGAAAATACAGTTTGTACAGTACAAAAACTATTACGCCTATGGAATGTCCCCATTTAGATAGCTAAGTAAACGTGTGTGTGTGTGTGTATGTGTGTGTGTGTATTTATGTAAGAGATTGAGGGAACAAACACAGACCTTGCTAAGGATGTAGATGACATCTCCTCTCTGGAAGGCCAACTCATCGGGTCCATCAGCTTCACAGTCCCACAAGCATTGGTAATAATTTGCATAATCTGAAGTCCCTTTATTTAAAACACAGAGATAAAAAAAAATCAACATTTTTAGTCAATTTCTAGCATCTCTCTATCAATGCACACAATCTACTTACCAGACTTTTCAGTCCACTCTTCCGCATTGTCAGTATTTTCATCATCTGAAAAATACAGAGGGTCAGAGGTTATAGAAATACAGAACAAGTACATACATTAATCTTTTGGCATCAGTCTACAGCAGCTAATAATGCTACACCTTCCATGCAAATTCAACTTCTGGATCAACTTTGTGTACCTCTGAACTCTTTCATAAGTATATTAAACAATCTGTGTGGTGCTGGCAGAACAGCAGCTCGTGTTTGATTTATAGGGGAGGTGCCAGGCCGGGTTAGATGGCTAGTGTGTTTCAGGCAGACATGCATTGATTCTGGGCGTGGCACCTCTAGGTCTATGAGGTGACAGTGATAGCCCAGCCTTCCGTCTCCCACATCCATCCTCACGCTGTCAGCCTGCCGATAAAACCACCGTCCAGCAACCCTATACTTCCCACAGCACAAGCTTGCCCTGAGCTTCCAGGAACAGCATGGGGAAAAAAACCTGTAAAGCTAAAGTAGCCCTTTACCATATGCGCAAGTGCGAAATATACATCTTAAAACCTGTGTTGAATCTGTTGCATGAGGCTTAATTGAAAAAAAAAAATGAGATTTCAAAATTATCATAGTCAAAATGTAAAATGATGAGTGAATTCTTAATCTCAAAAAATTTCCAGTTAAAATCAAATTTTTTAGATTAATTTCCGGGATAGTGCTGAAGCGTTAATGAATAATATAGATATATACACTACCATGTGTGGTAAAAATGTTTTTAAAAGAAGTCTCTTATGCTCACCAAGACTGCATTTATTTGTGAAATATCATTACAATTTATAATAACTATTTTAAAACATTTTGAAATATAATTCATTCCTGTGATTGAAAAGCTAAATTTTTTAGCAGCTATTACTTTAGTCTTTAGTGTCACATGATCCTTTAGAAATCCTTCCAATATGCTGATTTGGTGCTCAAGAAATATTTGGTTATGCTTTATTTTAAGGTGTCCTTGTTACAGTGTAATTATACATTTAAGTACTGTTTAATATTAATTAACTACATGTACTTACTATATGTGACCCTGGAGCACAAAACCAATCATAAGTAGCACAGGTATATTTGTAGCAATAGCCAAGAATACACTGTATGGGTCAAAATTATCGATTTTTCTTTTATGCCAAAAATCATTAGGATATTAAGTAAAGATCATGTTCCATGAAGATATTTTGCAAATTTCGTACCGTAAATATATCAAAACTTCATTTTTGATTAGTAATATGCATTGCTAAGAACTTCATTTGGACAACTTTAAAGGCGATTTTATTTTGCACCCTCAGATTCCAAATAGTTGTATCTCAGCCAAATATTGTCCTATCCTAACAAACCATACATCAATGGAAAGCTTATTTATTCAGCTTTCGGATTCAGAAATAATTGACTCTTATGACTGGTTTTGTGGTCCAGGGTCACATATGGTTAGGGTTACTTGCATGTAATTATGCATAATTTATTGTTATTACAATAGTAAGTACATGTAGCATGTGTAACAAGGACACCTTAAAATAAAGTGTTACCAAATATTTCTTATTATTATCTACACTAAAAACTGTTTAATATTTTTGTGGAAACTGTGATTTTTGTTTTTTAGAATTATTTGATGAACAGAAAGTTTAAAAGCACAGCATTTATTCAAAATGGAAATCTTATGTGCCAATATAAATGTCTTTACTGTAACTTTTGATCAATTTAATGCATCCTTGGTGAATAAAAGTATTAATTTCTTAAAAATATCTTACTGACCCCAAATGTTTGAATGGTATGATAAATGAGATTAGTTAATATATCAGCACACTACATTCAGCACTTTTTAGACAATGTCATAAAAGACCTGCTCAGCACTTTTCCAAACTGAAAATCTGAGAGGCGTAAGAAGATGAGAGAGAGATGAATGAAGGGCGGAAAAGTGAGAGAGGTGGTCACTCGATCCGCCATCTGTGGCCAGCTCAGCTGCCCAGCACACATGGCAAAGTAAGGTGAATATGACAGCACTCCAGAGTGATGTATTTCTCCTCAGATCTCATTAGGTCCTCTGAGGGTCCTGCTATCACTATGGGTGACCAGATCTTGATGTATATGCTTTTATTGATGGTGTTCAACACAGTAGAGTTGATGATTACAACCTCAGTTACTTTGTTCCAAAATCCCCTCAAAAACTGATGTCAGTATTTTTTAGTATTTTAGTATTTTTATGAGGATAATCCAATATTAAACCCTGTTTTGTTAAATAATATGCATTGCTAAGAACTTCATTTGGACAACTTTAAAGGCGATTTTATTTTGCACCCTCAGATTCCAAATAGTTGTATCTCAGCCAAATATTGTCCTATCCTAACAAACCATACATCAATGGAAAGCTTATTTATTCAGCTTTCGGATTCAGAAATAATTGACTCTTATGACTGGTTTTGTGGTCCAGGGTCACATATGGTTAGGGTTACTTGCATGTAATTATGCATAATTTATTGTTATTACAATAGTAAGTACATGTAGCATGTGTAACAAGGACACCTTAAAATAAAGTGTTACCAAATATTTCTTATTATTATCTACACTAAAAACTGTTTAATATTTTTGTGGAAACTGTGATTTTTGTTTTTTAGAATTATTTGATGAACAGAAAGTTTAAAAGCACAGCATTTATTCAAAATGGAAATCTTATGTGCCAATATAAATGTCTTTACTGTAACTTTTGATCAATTTAATGCATCCTTGGTGAATAAAAGTATTAATTTCTTAAAAATATCTTACTGACCCCAAATGTTTGAATGGTATGATAAATGAGATTAGTTAATATATCAGCACACTACATTCAGCACTTTTTAGACAATGTCATAAAAGACCTGCTCAGCACTTTTCCAAACTGAAAATCTGAGAGGCGTAAGAAGATGAGAGAGAGATGAATGAAGGGCGGAAAAGTGAGAGAGGTGGTCACTCGATCCGCCATCTGTGGCCAGCTCAGCTGCCCAGCACACATGGCAAAGTAAGGTGAATATGACAGCACTCCAGAGTGATGTATTTCTCCTCAGATCTCATTAGGTCCTCTGAGGGTCCTGCTATCACTATGGGTGACCAGATCTTGATGTATATGCTTTTATTGATGGTGTTCAACACAGTAGAGTTGATGATTACAACCTCAGTTACTTTGTTCCAAAATCCCCTCAAAAACTGATGTCAGTATTTTTTAGTATTTTAGTATTTTTATGAGGATAATCCAATATTAAACCCTGTTTTGTTAAAAGGGCTGATCAATGAGATACATTGTTTTTTTTTCTGTACCTGGAAGCACTTCATAAATGTCCTCTTCGTCCTCTTCTTCCTCTTCTTCATCTTCCTGAGTTCCTGCTTGGTCCTTCCCTTCCTCACGGCTGCTTTGGGGGGTTTGTCCCAGATTCAGTAATGTTGTAACTGGTGCAGATGCTGGCCCAGGACGTGGTGGTGGAGGTGTGGTAGCTCGTTCAATGTCATCATATGTCTCTTCCTCTTCTTCCACCTCCTCTTCCTCATCATCATCAAAGGGGATGAAGTTAGAGCTCAGATCTTGGAGAAAAGCCATAAACAATCATTAACACATAATGAAAATGACAGCAGACAAATAAGACCAATTCCCTGTGTGAATCTCATTCTGATTATGTTGACCAATCTACATGTAGTGGTGTCCCAAACGTCTGATACCACTAGTGAAAATGCTTCTATTTTAATAAAAAATACAGTAATATTGTGAAATATTATTATATTTTCCTACAGTATCACATGTCACTCTCCAAATATTGGAGAGAAGCCATAAAAGCAAACATTAACACCAACATAATTCAGATCACAGTAGACAAATAATATCTACACTTCCCAAAAGTCTGAGGCCACCAGTGACTATTTTGCAATTTCCTAATTTAATGCTTTTTATTACAAATTACATTACCTGCATAATTTAATTTGAGTGAAAAGCTGTACTAATAACATGAATTTCATATCTTCATAGTCTTTTCTTCTTGGTTTGCCATTTTGCTTTAATGACAGTGGGACTCCAGACACATTAACTCTACAAGTTTGCACTGATGATCATGTGATCCAGCATGATTTCAGAATATTCAAATGTCACAAATTTGCTTTGTCAATAAGTAGTACATAAATAGTTCAGAAAATTAAATATTTAAATAATTAAACTATTTTTAAAAATCCCAAATCATCAAATTTTTGGTTTAAATCCAACTTTGAATGATTGTCAGTGTGTTCCCACATTTTTGGACCTCAGGAGAATTCATAAAAAATAATATCAGAAATTTAACACTGTGCAGAAATCTGGGGGAAAAAAGCATTAAATTTGACAATTATTACAGGGCTAATACTAAATGATGCTTGTGCCATTTGGCTGTATGTACATGTGCGAAGGGGGGTGGGGAGGGAGAAAACTATCTCAGGAGTGTCCATTACTTCCCGCAAATCAGAGGGCCGCATTGAGCCCATTTTAGAGTGGCGAGGGTGCCTCAGATCTGTCTCAGATGAAGTGAGGGCCTGATTGCAGGTGACTGAGCTCTGTAACACAGGCTATCGTATCCTCACTGCCTGGATGCCAAGCAGGACCAGATCGATGCCCCTAAAGGATGACCGGGCAAATCCCAATCAATTTCCTGTAAAGAGCGCTGCGCTACGGGGAAGAGGAGGCAGCCTGAAGCACGTTGGAGTCAGAAGCTCAGTGACGTGCTGCATGAGGAGGTCTAGAGACTATCTTATTGGCTGAGCTAGGAGGAAAGTTATTGGTATGCCTTTTTTTTTTTTTTT